ACCCTAAGACTTCAACGCTACATCCGAGGTGTCCGGCTTATAGAGTCTCGCCGTTCTGAGGGGCTGCAAGTTTTTCTGGGGTTTGGATGCGGTGTAGAATTTTTTTTTAAGTGTTGTGAGGCTTTCGCTCCGCAGACCTCCAGTCTCAGCCCTCTGGTCCAAACACTAACAAAGCCACCTCAGACGTCACCCCAAAAGAAGCATCAGAGGTTTAGTGCTTAGGGTTTGCACAGGTGGAAGGCTTGAGGAATCTACTGCTTGGAGGGGCTTTGGTCTCAGGGCTTCAAGCCTTACTTACCTAAACCTGCACTTTGGTAGGTCCGTACAAAACTTACATCGAGGACCATACTAAGAACCTAGGGCTGTGGTAGTTTTAGGATAACCCAGAGAGTCCGTGCATACTACCATCATGAACCAAGGTTCCAATGGACCATCCTTATCACAATTTTGGTGATAGTTCCGTCAATCGTAGTATATGGGTAAAGTAGGGTCCTTTTTTGGGTCACCAAAATAGTGCGGCACCCTTTTAAACAGGACCCTAAAGGTACACTGATTTAGAGAACTATCCCTGTAACGTAGGGTTTTCATAATTAGAACAGGGTTTTGGGCTCATTTATGGTATAATTATAATAAGGAACCCTAAGACCTAAGAATAATATAGGTATTGATTTAGGCTTCTATACTATGGACCTGCTTGGTAATGAAGGGATCAGAGGTTCCGCACCTCGACCTGGCTCACAGAGAAGTCCTAAGGCATCCTTGTCGACCCAAAAAATAACCCTAAATTAGGGTTCATCGTAATAACCATCACAAGACCAGTCATAACATCCAAACATCATACTGAAAGTGGGGATACAAGTCAGGATGGATATAATACTGATAGTAATAACACTAAACAAACTTAATCATGATAACGGTAATAATACTCACAACATATCAAAACTGTTATAACAATTACAAATGATCTTGCTGTTCTTCTGCCCAAGGCCTCGAACACCTCAGGTCAGAAACCAGCAACCATGGAAAGCCTTAAGCAACAGCAAAAACACTCAGCAGGAGTCCCAGCTCGGTCTAAGCTCTTCGCCCAAGGGTTTAGGGTTCAGGGTTC